TGCATAGCTTCTAATTTTTCTTGTTCATTTCATTTTGCAAATCATCTAATTGCTGTTTAGCTTGCATAATCATATTATCTTTAAGATTTTCAATATTTATTTTGTGTCCTATTTGTAAATCATCTTTCACTTTTGATAATTCTTCATGCCTGAATAAGTCCTTAATCTCTCTAGTTCTTCTTTTACAGATTTGAGTCAACCTTGCAGGGCTAAAAGACATGAGAACGAGATCCCCTCCCCCCTTTGTGGGTGAGGAAAGGCATTGCAGAAGTAGAAGAAAGGGAGTTTGAAGGATAGCAACTACACATCAGTATTGTAGTGAACTTAAAACTTTTACTTATAAACTCGAGTTTATCTTGAAGCATAGAGAAGAAGGAAAGTTGAATTTTGTTCTTCACTCCATCTAGTTGGCCAGACCAAACTGGATGAGATATTTTCCTTCCTCTCAATACCTTCAATTCTTTTCTAACAATTTAAAATTCAGGCAGTTGCAGTTACCTTGAAGGTACACAAAGACTTTAGACATACACACTAGTCATTCCCCCCTTAAATTTTAGTTGAATTAGGGAATGCACAGATCTTAACAAACTAATTTTTAACAGAAATCATATAAAATTAATCAATTATCTGAGTCTTCCCATTTAGACAGGCTTTTCTTTTTATTACCTGCTAAACCCCGGGTGAGAAGAACAATAACAATTTTCTTCTCTATTTTTAGTTCTTTCAGAGTTCTCTGGCTCTTTTTAAGAATGGTAATTTATCAGAATCTTTATAACACTGCAGTATTTCTCTTTTAAGGACTAGTCAGGTCTATTTGCAGTTTGGGATTCTTTCTAATTGTTTTAGTGAACTTCTCACTTTTTACTCAAGGTTTCATCCATTGTTCCATCTCCTCAAGCACTGGATTGTCCCTGCCCTGGTGATGCTCTGTCTAGCTCTTTCTAGTTTGGATCTCCCAGCAGGCGCTGGCTTAATTTTAAAGTTCCAAAATGTATAGAGACCTTTATTCACACATCATTGCACTTAGCCAGGGCTCTCATGAGCAAGTTTGAACCCCACTTTTCTTTTAAGGACCTTTCTTAAAATTCTTCAACCTACATTGAAGAGATGTTCATGGAACACTCTCTTTTCCACCCATTTTCTAAAACACTGCCATTGAGCTGCGGTGCTAGACCTTTTCCAACAGTCACCAACAGGAACTGCAATGGCTTAACCACCCACACAGTTCTAGAGGCTCATTAGGATACGCCAATTCCGTTAGGAAGGGACATTTTCCTGGACCCAGGGAGGTGATCAGGCTCCCTCTTCCACTCTCAAGGAGTGGGCCTACAATTCCCCAATACTTGCCTGCAAGTGTCTTCTTTTTTTTCTTTCTCAACCAGCGTTTATCTATTAGCTTGTTCTGATTTTGTAAGGTTCTTGGGTCGGTTGGAGCCATCGAGTACCCAGAGGGGCCGTCTGCCTCCTTCCAGAGAAAAACTCTCAGTGGCGCCTGAAGTTTGGCAAGACGATCCCATCTGGCACTGACTGGTCCGTTCCGTCCCATAGTGAAATCTCGCTTCATCTCCTGGCTGGCTCGCCAAAATGTCGCAGAAAAATAAGAGATGAATTTCCAAATCAGGAAAAGCTTTATTTTGGCCAAAAGGTTCAGATAGCTTAATATAAATTCTAACATCTGAACAGAGATCTTGTTTAAGACATGTATCTTTACAGAACAAAAACAGGAAGTATCTTGGATCTGCCTCTTTAGCTAGCCCCACTCCCCTATTGCTTTAGGCAGGAAGCTCCATGTGGTTTAGTTCTGCATTTTAACATAGTACCAGGAAGTTACCTAATACTTGTAGTTTGACTTTTTGAACCCAGCAACTGTCTCTTTGCCTGCAGTTTGACTTCTTGAACTCTGCAACTTTCTCAAGTCAAAAGGGTCCTTCAGAGATCATGCAGGCTGACCCCGTATTATTTCACTCTTATATCCAATTTCATTTTACATTCTGCCTTAGGGTGGTCATGTGACTGGGTGGCTGTGGCCGGGTGGCCATGGCTGGGTGGTCATGTGACTGGGTGGGCATGGCCAACTTGACATCACTCATGTCAAGGGGCACTTTGCCCAGCCCCTCCCCTCCCAGCCACTCCTTGTCACCCCCAGCCTCAACGTATTTATTGGACTAGAACAGAGGTCTTCAAACTTGGCAGCTTTAAGACTTGTGGACTTTAACTCCCAGAATTCTCCAGCCAGCTGGCTGGAGAATTCTGGGAATTGAAGTCCACAAGTCTTAAAGCTGCCAAGTTTGGGATCCACTGGACTAGAAGACCTCCGAAGTCCCTTTCAGCTCTGTTATTCTGTTATTCCTAAACTAAATAGCTAAGACCCTCATTGGGACCCTATCTCTTTTGCTCCCTCTGGACTAATGAGTTAAAGAGCTGCCTCTAGACATTACTTTTAATAAGATTTTTAGAAACCTGCAGTTGAAAGTTCTTCATGTCTCCATACCCTGAAGACCCAATTTCATTTGGAATTTAATCCCAAACTGATTGCCCTTTTAGCATTTCTCTTGACACTTCTCCAAAATGCACCCCCAAGAAGCCACATCTCTCTCTGTCTCCCTCCCTCCCTCCCCCCTCTCTCTCTGACATACACACACACACACACACAGAGAGAGAGAGAGAGGTTGGATTAGATATCTCTCTCCCACCCTCCTTCCCTCTCTGCTTTAGGCTTAGAGCCTTAGAAAGTCTGCCAGTGCTGCTCCTCATTTGGCAATGTTTAAGGAGAATTAGGGGCTAGAGACAGTTGACATTCTCATCTCTGCTACAGGTGAGGTTGTCAGAAAGACCTTTTGGCAAGCACGCAATGCCTTCTCCTCAGCCTCTCAGCACTAATGAAAGATGTGTCTCTTATCTTTGCATGTAAGTGATGCAACCTTACTGACATGCTATTTGTCAGAATCAGACATTTGGGTTAGTATTTCTAATTTCTAATAGAGCATCTTTTTTTTATTAGAATACATTCAGAAAAATCCTTTTAATGTTGCAAATTGAGTACTTTTTAATTTTAAAAAAAAATCAGATGATTTTGATGAAATCTTTTGAATGAGAATTTATTCTCCCAAATCTCCCAAAAGGAGATTAAGAATATTTTGGTTTTAGCAGCAGTAGTAAGCTGACATCAGGACCAACTCTTTGACCAACTCATAACATCCAATTCCTGGGAAGGCCACTGTTTCTAGTTAGAGTCAAGAGCAACAAAGTGGGTAATTGACTTACAGAAAGGTCAATTTGGAAGTATCCTGGAGCTAATGTATTCTGGCAAAGAGAGACTTTGGGTTCTTGTATTTAAGGTGCCACATGAATGATGGAGTAACTTTCCGTGAGAATCTATTACTATATTTGTGCTTCACTTAATTATAGTGTCCACCTGTTACTGTGTCCACCTGTTACTGTGAAGTTTTGTCAGAATTTTTTACCTTCAGCAACAAACCTTACTCTGACTATCAGCAGAAATCTATTTCGATTTGGGTCAGATTTTTGATACTTAAAACTGCTAGTTAAATTGATTTCAGATTTTGAGAAGAGCTGGGGAGAGTACATAAATGTTAAACTCAAATTTGCATATTTGATGTCCAGATGAGGTCGAAAAAATAATATATACTGTAAAATATATGAGGCTTCAGTGAACCGTAATAATAAAAAAATCTGATTTGATATAATTGAATCTATAAACTAAGCTTTCTCAAATTCTGGAAGCTGTAGTAGTCCAATATATTTGAAGGACACAGGGTTGGAGAAATTTTGCCTAGATATTCAAGTATGTTTCTATTGTTTAGATCACTATCCCATTATTAGATGTATTGAGTTCCTTTATGCTGGTTCTTCATCAAATGATTGGGGAAAATTAATGATAAGGGTTTTAAGAAAAATCATATAGTTCTCTGTTCTACAGTTTTCAAGAGTATACGTCTGTTCATTATAGGGATTCAATAGGAAATAGTATAAGTGATCTTCACTGTAGTATAAGCATTCCACTGATTTCACAATTATCTTTTGAAAATGTTTGAAAATTTTGCTGTAAGCTGCCAGTTGATTGTAGTTTGCAAAGTTATTTTGTATTCAATTCAGCAAGCTGAAGTAGAAACTAAGGGGAAAGCATTCCCTTGTCTAGTCACCTCCTAAAGAGTTATTGGGAAAGTTGTTGGGTGTGTCATGTGATCACTTTTTGTTACCTCCTGACAAGCAAAATCAATAGGGAAGCCAGATTCATTTAACAACCATATTACTAAGTTACAAGCTGTGGCAAGATTGGGGCAAAATTCACTTACCAGTAATAACTGTCTTGCTTAGCATTGGAAATTTTGGGCTCAATTGTGGTCATAAGTCTAGGACTTCCTGTACTGTATCTGTAATACTACAATGTCTGCATAATCAAAGCTAATTTATATATGTGTGTGTTTGTGTGCACTTATTAATACATTTTGAACAATTTGAAAGTTAGATTTTTGTTACAAAAAGACGGGCATTTTAGTGTTTGTTTTTTCCTTTCCTTTGGTCAGTCTGAAAGAATAATGATTAATTTTATAAAATTAATGCCCACTGAAATGATGGATTAATAGCATGGTTAATTTTAGAGCACAATTAAATGTGACTGTGCAGCTAAAATAATGCTAGCTAAGTTGTAGGGAAATATTTATTTTTAGCTCTATCTGGGAGTGTTTCACTGCTCAACTCTAACTAGTTTGAACTAATTATTGAAATAACTCAGAAAAATAAGAATAAATTCCCCAGTTTGAACCAGTGATATATTCTCTAATTTTAAAAATCAGATAACCCATTCTAATGCATTCCAGTAATCCTGATTTTAAACAGCATGCTTTAGTGATGACAACTGTGAAATTTTAAACAGCAGTCTGCAAAATCTAATGATTTTACTAATCTTATTAAAAAGAGAGGATTACGCTGTGAATAATTTATCTCAACTTTATTGTAATAATTTTGCTGGTTACCAGGTGGGGTGGCAGTTGAAAAATTTGGTGAATGCACTACGAGAGGATCCGAGTGGTGTTATCTTAACTTTGAAAAAGCGACCTCAGAGCATGCTTACCTCAGCACCAGCTTTACTGAAAAATATGAGATGGAAGCCCCTTGCTCTGCAGGTAACAATGCTTAATCATAAATCATACACCATCATTTTAGCTTTAGATTATCTCAGTGCTGCTTTATTGTGCTTCATTTCAGCAGCATATGTGGATTTAATCTTGTATGCTTTGAAAATGCTTTGTGAAATATCTTCAGATTTATTTGCTATCTTAAATTAATATTTAAATCCATAACTTGCAAACTTGAGGGAATCTTTTATTCCTCAGTTTTAAATGTATATATAACCGGAATTCTACATGTCCTTTTTAAAATGCATAAAATTATATGCTTTATTAAATAAATAATTCAATATTAAGTAAAAAATAAAATACTAATCTCATGCTTGTGTCTTTTGGTTTGTTCATTTTTTAATTGTGAATCTCCTTCCTCTGTTTAGCAATCAAGTGATACTTTGCAGAATAGAAGGAAATCAGTGGGTGCAAACCAAATTTCAAGTTGCTTGAGTTCAAGATGAGTTGTCCCAATTTTGGTAGAAGTGTTTGATGCTGTTTTCAACATTTTAGGAATGTTCTGTGCTTAAGCGGTCCTAAAATTGAAATACATTGTTTTAGCTTGAATGATTCAGATTTTAAATTGTTGCTATATCACTAGAAGGAAGGTGTCTTAGGTACATGGATTATTTCAGTTTTCCAGGCAAAAGAAAATAATCTTTCTTTGTACATTGGCTCCAAGCCAAGTGACATTTACGCTTTCCACCATGTTGTAGATACCATGTGTAGATTTTTGGAGAAGTTGCTTAAAAGAGTAAGGGTTAGGGTTAGAGTTAAAAAAAAATTACTTTTATTTTTGAAGACCATTTAGTAGGTTGTTGCCATATATTGAAATATTGTTGCTCTTATAAACAACACTTGTATACTATGTTTGTATATTTCCAGAAACAAAAATAATAAAATGGAATATGAATTAAGAAAATTGTACTTTTGCAGTATAGGTCCACACAATGTATTACATTAATAATAATTTGACATGGAAATAGAGCTATTGTGTAATTTAAGTTTGAGGTGTGGCATTGCTAAACTGTTCTGGAATATATTTGTAAATGCTTCTACTTAATGTATAAACACATAAAAACAATTTCAATAATAACAGATTCCATTACATAATATTTATGTCATAGTTTTTCCTTAGAATATTTTACCCTCAACTTTATTTAATGCATTTGAAGGAATGAATAAGAAAAGTGTTCCTAGCTTTGTATGGAAAATTGGATGGGCAGAATTTCGTTAATTAGTGCAATTATTTGGTACTATCCAATAATTCTGATATTAGATAGATCCCACATTCAAATAGTGTACCTTGAAACTGAGAAGCTAGAGAGCGAATGACAAAATGTTGGCATGCATGCTGTGATGTCATAAAGCAAATTGCACTCTTAAGTATGTGTGGTAGTGCTATCACAATACTCATTTTTTCATTTGCTCTCTCTTCCTCTCTATTAGAAACTGGGATGGTAGCGGTGAAATTGGTTTTACATCTTAAAAAATACTCTGATATGTAAGTGAAATAAATAAATCTTTGTGACTCTCCTATATAATCCCTGAAAGTTATGAAAAGATCAATATGTATGCCAGTCATTATACTATTGTACAGGTAGTCCTCAATTTACAATTATTTATTTAGTGGCCATTTGAAATTACAATGGCACTGAAAAAAATGAGTTATAATCAGTTTTCACACTTATGAACATTACAGTATCCCCATAGTCACATGATCAAAATTCAGACACTTGACAGTTGGCATGTACCCTGTTTCCCAAAAAATAAGATCTATCTTGAAAATAAGACCTAGCATGTTTTTATGAGTGTGCCTAATATAAGCCCTATTGTTGTGGCCCACCAGCAGTCTGCACGGATCGTGGCTGATCCCGATGACCAGGAGGCTGGTGGGTCGCGCCAGCAGCCTGTGCAGCCGGCACTCACGTCGGACAACGAGGAGGCTGAAGAGGATGTGACAGAGGCAGAGACTCAGCTAGGGCCTTCAGAACCTCCAGAAGCTCCTTCAAGTGGAGAGAGTGAAGTGGAGGAGCCTCTCCTCAATGCTCGAGCACGCAGGGCTGCCAAAAGGCAGGAGTGGCTACTCAGGAGAAGGAGGTCTCCTCGAGAGTAAGGTTTGAGGATAATTGGCCACTCCCTTAGCCTATTTAAGTTGCATGCATTTAGTAATTTCTTGCTGGAAACAACGTGTAATTATTACTGAGCATTTTGGAGAATGAGTGTCTTACCGTATCTTGTTTTCTGGGCTGGTTGCCAACCTTTGCTGGACTTTGTTTATTCTTGGTACATTATAACTTTGATAAGGACCGTTGGTGTGCATCACAATCCTTGGGAATCCGGAGCTGGGGCAGAACACCTACTCCCAAAATAAGCCCGATGTCAGGTTCTGGGTGGAAAGTAAGGATGCCAAACACAAATGATGGTTAGAATCCTCTTTATCCAAACTGGCATGTACTGACCACCACAATTAATCAAATGAAGATATTGTTAGATCTGCTGCTCTGTGCTCCCTGCCACCTTTTAAAGCATCTAACATTGCCCCATCCACTCATGCGGTCCCAGCCCTCATGACCCGCTTCTCCGCGGCTCAGCTGTGGCTGCGGCATTCCACCTCTCAGCTGTTTGAGAACACTTTCGCTGCTTGTTTCAAGATGCTGGCTGAAGAGGCAGTCCATTCCAAGTCATTGTGCTGGAGATTGATTACAGCTGCCCTGGACGCCAACAGGTGGTCATGGTTCATATTCCCCCCTGGTGGGCCCATCGCTACTCATGCTGTGTTCCCCATCGTGGTCCCTGCCGGAATGGCAGCCCCAGGCTGCTGAGTGCGCCAGAACTGATATGCTGACATGTGGCCCTCCTACCACGGGGACAGCACCTGGAACACAAAGATTACGGTGAGTGGCCTCACGATTTAGCCCCCCTGGTTTCATTGGGTGCTGCCGGTGAAACCTGGCAACCAGCCAAGGAACCCTTACATCGTGGCTAGGTACCCACGAGGCCTCTGATAAAGGGTATGCCTTCCACAATACCAGATATTGGAGCCATCCCCTATGCCACCGGGTGTCTAGTATCTTCTTCACCTTGTAGTGTTGGTCCCCTACCATGATGGGAGGCGGTGACTTAGCAAGGGATCCTCTGATTTGAGCTGCCTGGGTCAGATGGAGCAGGCTGCAATGGAAGACCAGGTGGGTTTTACCCAACAGGGGTAGACAGATTTGTACCATAACAGGATTAATAACCCGTACGATGGGACATGGGCCGATGTATTTAGGACCAAGTTTTCTACAGGGCATGTTCAATTTTAGATATTTTGTAGAAAGGTATACTAGCTGTCATATACAGAAGGGGGGGTTGTAGTCTCCATCTTTTGTCCGCTTGCTGTTTATATTCCATGGCTGACTGTTGTAACGCCATTCGTACCACCCTCAACACATGCTGCATCTGTTCCACCCACCCTTGGACTCCCATGTCCTCTGGGCTCACCCAGGAACACTCAGGTATTGCAACAAATTCCCTGCCAGTAGCCATCTGGAGTGGAGTAAACCCCATACTGCTGTGGATTGCGTTATTATACACTACTTCAGCAAACAGGAGTAAATCAGACCAATCAGTTTGCTGATGTTTAACATAGCAATGCAAATAACGTTCCACCATCGCATTTGCTTTTTCAACAGCTCTATTGGTCGTGGGGTGGAATGCTGAACACAGGCTCTGTCATCACACCCTGGTCAGGAACTCCCGCCAGAACCTGGTGGTAAATTGTACCCCTCAATTGGAGATCACCCTCTGAGGAATGCCATGGAGTCAATATATATGGATGATAAATAATTTGGCCAGCTTTCTGGCAGAGGGGAGGCTGGAGCAGGCTATGAAATGGGCCTTCTCCATTGAGAATAGATCTATCACTATCCAGATTACTTTATGGCCCTGGCTTTCTGGTAGGCCCATGATAAAATCCATGGCTATCTGTTCCCAGGGTCCCACTGGGGCTGCCGCTGTTTGTAACAGGCTGGAAGGTTTTCTGGGGCAAATCTTCATGGTAGTACATACAACACAACTTCTCACATACTCCTCTATATCTTTTTTCATATGAGGCCACCAGAATTGTCAGTTAGTTAGATGCAAGGTTTTAAGAAACCCGAAATGGCCAGCTGAGCGATCATCATGGCAGTGATGGAGCACTTCTAATCAGACAGCCTGGGGCACATACAGTTTAGAACCCTTCCAAGCAAAGCCATCTCTCTGGGTAAGCAGGGATCGGTTCTCCTTGTACACTGGTTTGGATGGAAAGTAAGGATGCCAAACACAAATGATGGTTAAAATCCTGCTTATCCAAACTGGCATGTACTGATCACCACAATTAATCAAATGAAGATATTGTTAGAACTATTGCTCTGTGCTCCCTGCCACCTTTTAAAGCATCTAACACCGCTCCATCCACACACGTGGTCCCAGCCCTTGTGCCCCGGAAGTTTCTTGTGCCCGCCTCCCAGCTGGGCACGCTGCTGCGTCTTTGCTTCTCCGCAGCTCAGATGTGGCTGCGGCATTCTGCCTCTCAGCTGTTTGAGAACACTTTCGCCGCTCGCTCCAAGATGCTGGCTGAAGAGGCAGTCAGTTCCAGCTCATTGTGTTGGAGATTGATTGCAACTGTCCTGGAGGCTAACGGGTGGTCGCAGTTCGTATTCCCCCCCGGTGGGCCCGTTGCTACTCATGCCGTGTTCCCCATCATGATCCCTGCTGGAATGGCAGCCCTGGGCCACCTGGCATGCCGGAACTGACACCCTGCTTAAGAGCCTGCACAGCCGGCCACCAACCCATTCCATCTGGTTGCTCACGTTGCCACTGCCACAAGGTGAGGTGGCAGGGTGGAACTGCTCCATGTGCCCTGCACCAGCTTACCTGAGGACCCCCACAGCCAGGCCATCTATGCCCCAACACCTACCTCACAGTGGCAGCACTGGAAGCCATGTGCAGCAGGAGCCCACATGGCCACCAGCCCACTT